TTTCAAGTAGAAATGTATAAAAATATAATTGCCTTCAAAACTTATATGGCTACTAAAAGCTGATTCAATCTCTTCGTAGGTATAATTAAAATCTTATGCATACACCTCGCTTAGAAATAAAAGCTTTAAAGAACGGAGTCTCTTATAAGTTTAGTAACAGCTGTGCTTATTGTGCATATTGCCTTGGGGAATTCGAGAAAATTTAAACAGCATTTAGTATAAGTGTAGCCGTAACGAATATTTCAAAAAGTGCAAAATTCTAAGATAAAACCATTTCCTATACATAATGACCATAAGGGAAAGTACTTAACATACTTTCTAGGAACAGTGTTTCTAGTCTCTGAGAAATGTAAAATCAATGGGGGCATAAACAGGCATTTCTTAATAAAATTAATTACGATGAACTTCATTTTTACAACATTTTAGTGTGTAGACGAGGTGTGCATAATTTTCGTGGGGCATAAGTGAGTTTCAAATGCTCAGTGAGCAAAGGACGAGTGCATAATGCTTATCTAAACGAAGATTTTGAAGAGCAGACACGATCTCCGGGACAAGAGCTTTATTAGCTTGATGTTTCGAATTCTCTCTCGAATCCATCATCAGAGACAAAAGAGCAGAAACGGGTGGTTGTTGCACAAGGGGCTGCGGTATTTATAGCATGCAGTAGCCATGCTACCGCTTACCTAGGAACATTCACGGCTCCCCTCTTCATCCGGGATCGTCGCACTTGGTGTGATCATTGCTTGATGGCCGACATTCGAGTCGATAATTGCTGCAATTTCATCACGTGCGTTGGATGTTGGTGTGATGATTGCTCGACCATCTGACGCATCGACCCTGGTGTTGGGATGAGCGTTCACATGTGCGCTCCCCGCGTGGTCAATTACTACGCCTAGGCGAAGTCTCAGCACAGAGCATGGAAGGGGAAGTTCATTGCACTTGTTAATGGACTGGAGGCCAGTAAACCATGATTCAAGTAACTCCCGGCTCACGCGGTTGTCACTTCTTGCGAGAATTTCGGCCTCGTCGAATTTGAATGTGTGGCGGAATCTCGCCGAATGATCCGCAACTTGATAGTTGGCGTCATTTCTCCGCACCGCTGCAGCGTGTTCGGCCATTCTCGTTCGGAGCTATCTTCCGGTTTCTCCGACGTATTTGCTTTGTCCGCAACTGCACCAGATCCCATAAACGACTCCAGACGTTTTTAGCCGTGGAAACGAATCTTTCGGTTTTACTACCTGACACCTGATTGTTGCCTCCGGTCTGTGTTCAACTCCAACCCCAAGTGGTGCGAGAAGGCGGCCGACAGCTTCCGAAACTTTCTTGACATACGGAAGTGCCCGCCAAGATTTGGTGTCCGTGCGGTTAGGCCTTTCGTCCCTTTTGCGTATGCACCGAAGTTGCGCGGGTAGCCATTGGCTTTGAAGACCCGTCGGAGGTATTGTAGTTCAGCAATTTTGTCTTCCGGCTCACTGCAGTGCGTTTCGACACGCCGAAAGAGCGTCCTTGCACAACTGCGTTTGTGGCTGATTGGGTGGTTACTGTTGAAGTTCAGTACTTGCATCGTATTTGTCGCTTTCCTGAACACATTGGTCTTTAGTCCACCACAATATTTGCGGCATACGAGGACATCCAGAAAGGCCAGCTGGTTGTTCTCTTCCCTCTCCATCGTGAATTGAATGTCCGGGAAGACGGCGTTGAGATGTTCTTGGAAGGTCAGCACCTGATCCCGTTCGATGACGACGGGCCCAGAACTTCAGTTTGTGGTGTTGGAAGACCAGCGAGTCTAACCGTTGCAGGACCGCCTCGGCGATGAATCCCGAAATCGGCGAACTCATTGGTGTGCCCTTCACCCGTTCGTAGATTGTCCCGTCGAACGTGAAGTACGTCCTGTGACAGAACTTCAGGAGCTGAAGGACTTGGGCGTGTACAAGGCGATTCGTCGTTTCATTGTATTTGCTTTGTAGTAGCAGCTCTACTGTCTCGATCGACAGGTCCTGGGGAATAGAAGTAAAAAGGGATGTAACATCAAAAAATACCATGACCTCATTTGGATGGAGGCTTTCCCCTTTGAGTTTCTCCAGGAATTGTGCTGACGAAGAGACAGTGGTGTCTGACTCAGTGGTCAGGAACTTAAGATGCCGGAACAGCCACTTAGACAGTCCGTATGTGTGAGTCCCTTTGAGGGGCACGATGGGTCGAAGAGGAGCGCCGTCTTTGTGCACCTTAGGGCGGCCATAGAATGGGGCTAAAGACGTATCTTGGGGTCTGGCCATGCGTCTGTCGGTCGGTGTTATTGCACCTGAGTTCTCCTAGGCCAACAACGTAGCATTAATTTCGCGTGTCAGCGCCTTTAAAGGGTTCGTTGCACATGGGACATAGAACTGTCGGTCCTCGAGTAAAACTTTGGCTTTTTGAAGGTAGTCTGTCCTGTCCAGTACAACTGTGGAGCGCCCTTTGTCTGTCGGCACGATGACCAGGTCTTTGTCGGCCTTGAGTTCTCTAAGCGCATCACATTCGACCTTGGAAAGCACTTCCCGCGGCCTGTGGGCCATCAGGAGAGACGAAACTTGGTGTCGGATGAGGCTCTTAGCATGAATGGAGGCCTTGTATGATATTTATGAGTAATCTGGTCAACTCTCTCTTCTTCTCTCTTTCTAACCTGTCACCAACCCATTCCCTTCTCCCCTTTTGACTAAAGAACTCTTCTCTTGATGATTACTGACTCATCGACGTCCACTTCCCGCATAATTATTGCGGGAACTCGCTTTGCATTGCTGCACAACTATAATCAGACTAAATTGATAGAACCACTATCGAGACACGTAAACTGAACAACTCTGCATCATATATAAACGCGGGAGCATGTGGTCTAGACTTAATAGATATCCACATTGCATGATATGATACCATGCGATATACTAAAAGCTGGTTTATGGGCGTCAACACAATGGAGGCCGTGAACATAAAATCACATTCACTAATATAGGATGCCTTTTGGGAATGTTTGGGAGTACAAATAATGTCAATAGACGGATCAGTTGTTCAATTAATTTTAGAGACTACGTGCAATTACTCACTTTCCAAATGCATTAGTGGTCTCTGAAATGGACGGCTTAACATAGCCCTCAATTTCAGGACGGATTTTCAGTAAGTAAATTTTTGTTCATTTAAAGACCGGTTCGTGTATTTGGCTGTGTCAAATGTATCTGGGCTATATTAGTACAGAAATATTCTGTTAGAAAGTGGCCACGTTCTGAAACTAGACCCGGCTTACAAAAATAGTTCGGATTAATTCTCTGAAACTGTTAAAATTTCTATTTAGCAGGCCTTGATACCTCGAAGAAATTCATCTGGATTCCATTGCAACATACCAGCCTTGAAAATTCAACCCCAAAGAAATTCAAGATACCTTCATCTGCAGTACTTACGGTGCAAAACCGTAGGATACTTTTGGTAGAACACTCCATGGCCCTGCCTCTCAAATCATGGAAATTCCACAGTAAATATTTAAAAAAGAGGTATATGAAAGTACTTAAATCGATAAAAATCCGAACCGTCATGACTCGGACTTATCTGAGCGAGAAAGTACTGAGCGATTTGCGCAAACCAAAAAATAACGTGGATGGTGTCTGCAAAATCTTTGGATTATTCTGGAAGATAATCAACGCAAAAACCGCACTAAAGTAATCCTCCCCAGCAAAAACGCATTTCAGATTTTCGAATAATATGTCATGAGATCGGTCACCGGCTGTACACGTCCACGTATCCTTGCTAGTATGACACCCGAGACAAGATTAACAGTAGTAACTGCATCTAAATCTTATCGCAGGAATAAAAGTAGACCTATTTCTAGATGTGGTAGAAGATCGCGTTCAGATCAACAGAATAAGTGTGCCGCGGCAAATACTAACGGCTAAGATGGTGAAAATACTCAAACACCACAATGCCAGAAGCAGATCGTCACGAGGATAGGGGTTGCAAAGGCTTTGTGTGCGGAGCCCACCACTGGTAGCCGCCAGTCAATCAGAACTGGGTGTGAGTAACGATCTTCTGAGAACGCCCCTCACTTTCACCTGTGGTAAAGGCAGAGAGACGAACTGGCTGGGTCCCAGTGCTTGGCTGCTCTTGTGAATGCAGAATTCGCAGAAGTTATGAATCAGCCAGTCTCTGGCGCAGAAGGCTGTCGCAGGAGCATATTTTGCAGAATATGTACGAGACATGTGACGAATGCAAGAACGAATGAGGCGCAGAGGTGCATAAGAACAATTACGGATAAGTAGGTACTGGACTGGACTGGACTGAGCATGAAGGATAAAGAATTTCATTTTATTCAAATCCTCATAAGTCATGCTGGCGAGAGCATCGAGCTGTACGCGTAGGAGCAGGCGGAGGACGTAGAGGATGATGCGAGTGACGAATAATGACGATGAGCGATGATGATGACGATGACGAAGGTGATGATGGTGAAGAGGGGGAAGAGGAGGATGAGGAGGAGGTGGAGATTAGTTTCGATGATGGGAAGGAAATAAAAAAGACGAATGTTTAGGAAGCAGCCGAGGGAGTAGCAAGCTCAGTGGAACTATATGGAAGAGGAAGAGGAGGCGGTAGAAGGGACATTAGAGAACCAGGACGATGGGGAGAGGAAAAACGCAGTCAGAGGTGGAGGCGAAAAAGCGGAATGATGAGTGAGACGACAGGAACGAGAGGATGAGGGGGGGGAGGATGAGGAGGATGCGTAAGTAGACGAGAATTGGGAAGCAGAGGACGGTTAGGGGTGTAGGGTAGATAAGGAAGCAACGGTGTGAGATGATGAGGAATACGAGCTAGAGGGGTTGGAGGAAGAAAGAAGAGGGTAAGAAAATGCGGAAAAGGAAGGGGGAAGGTGGGCGAATAACGGCAGTGGGGTTGTGGGAGCGTGGTGTTGGTGGCGTCGGTGTTGTCGGTGGTGGTTGTGGCGTTGGTGCTGATGCTGTTGTTTGTGGTGCCGGTGGTTGGTGCTACGGTGGTGATGGTGGTGGTGTGTTTGGTTTCGTTGGTCGTGGTTGTGCTGTTTGTTGTGGGGGTGATGTGGATGAGTTGATGGTTGCGGTACTGTTGTTGGTGGAGGTGGTTTTGCTTTTGGTGGTGTTGGCGGTAGTTGTGGTGTTGGTGGTTATGGTGGTAGTTTTCGTGGCTTTGTTTTTGGAGGTGATGGTGGTGGAGTAGGTTGTTGGGTTCTTTCCAGTGTTGGTGGTAATTGTGGTGATGATGACTGTAGTGATGATGGTGGTGGTGTTGGTGGTGGTGGTGGTGGTTGTGGTGGTGGTGGTGGTTGTGGTGGTGGTGGTGGTGGTGGTGGTTGTGTTTGCGGCGGTTTTGATGAGTTGAGGGGTGATCGTGGTATTGGTATTGTTGGAGATGGTGGTGGCGGTTTTGGTGGTTTTGGTATTGTTGGAGCCGGTGGTGGTGTTGGTCGATGTAGTGCTGGTGCAAGTGTTGGTGGTAGTTGTTGTGGTAGTGGTGGTGATGGTGGTGACGGCGGTGGTGGTGTTTGTGGTGGCGGTTGGGGTGGTGGTAGTGGCGGTGGTGGTTACGTTGGTGTTGGTGGCAGTGGTTGTAGTGGCGATTGTTTTCGTAGTGGTGCTGGTGGTGGGGTTGGTGATGGTGGTGTTGTTGCCGTCGGCAGATTTTCTGTTGTTGGTGCTGATTGACGCGTTGGCGGTGCTGTGAACGGTTGCGGTAGTGTTGGTAGTGGTTGTGGTTGTTGTTGTTGGGGTAGTAGTTGTCGTCTTGTTGGTGGAGGTGGTCGGGGTGTTGTTGGTGGTTTTATGGGGGTTGAATCTGTGGTGGTGGTGGTGGTGGTGGTGTTGGTGGTGGTGGTGGTGGTATTGACGATGGTGGCGTTGGTGTTGCTGGTGGCTGTGAGGGACGTGGTGATGGTGGTGGTCCGAATCCCCACTGCTGACTAGTGGGAATAATGACGGAGGGATGTTGATGCTAGTACTTCAATAAATACGACTGGTAACGCAGAAAAGTGTCAGCAGTGTTAATGGAACCTCGTCATAACTTGACTGAGGCATTATATCATGCGTGGTAGAAATGCGGACTGCCTGATGGGACAACAACGATTAATTATTGCAAGTTAGATTTAGGTTGGTAGCATAAGATCGTTCTAAGGAAATACGGTAAAGCAAAACTATGAGTTGACATGCTTAAAATTGGCAAACACAGCGGCCAACTTGAAGAAGAATAAAAAAGAACACTTGCGAATGGGAGTCCACTCTGAAAGAAAAGTCTCCAAGTCAACCTTTTCGCTTTAGATTTTAATAATACGTTTGACCGAGGAGAAAGCGCGGTTAAATTTCGTGGAGTTATTCTAGTATTTGGCATTGAGGACTCGGGACTAAGTATTGCTGTTTCTGATCACTTCAAGTCGAAGTCTTTCCCTTCTTAAACAGTTCACCTGATAGGAAAGAATATCATTATGTTGCTCAATCACAACCAATACATTGCCCCTATGTTCTTCACCTCTCTTCGCACCCCCTGTTCTTTTCCCCTAGATACATTTTCCTCAGAATTCTTACGCTCATTGAGATTAGGTAGAATCCCAGCTTCACAATGCTCAAAATAGTAATACTGCCTAAACAACCCACGAAATAAAAGAATGGTGTGAAAAATCGGCAGAATCATTTGCGTACAAAATAAATGCACTGCGCTGATAGCATATTTAGCAATAATCTCATTAGCCCAGGGTGAGATATGGCGAATTGTTATGAATTATGCACGCTGGATTGTAACAACGTTGTTGTTGTTGTTGTTGTGTAATGACGCGCACACATCGATTGCGCACGCCACGGCAATCGGCTCAGTTTTCCGACATTCCCAAGGTTATCAAAGTGCGCCTCTCCTCGCGTTCAGCCCTCGTCCATCTGGCAGAAACCACGTGAATGTACTGCGATCGATATAAGGGTACGTATTGAGGGCGGTCGATTTTATCTGGCCAGGTATGCAGGCGTCTCACGGTCCGGGGCCCAGCAGCTCCAGGTGAACTCCCGATAATGGTTTGTCATCCAGGCACTCACTGGTGCTGTATGCAGCAGCGGTAGGGGTAAGATGAGGTTTATTAGGCCCACCTGATGGACAAAATATTGTTGGGGTCGGGGTTAGGGGTTATGCTTAGGGATAATGATTAGGGGTTAGGGTTAAAGGTAAGGGTAAGTGGCTGGGGTTTAGGATAAGGAGTTATAGTAAGGGGTTAGGGTAAGGGTTAGGAGTTAGTGCAACTATTTCTCAACCATTCAGCGTACAACCACGCACTTCCAATAGCTTTCCTTTTGCATACAACTTATTGTTCTCGTCGCCTGTGCGATCCCCGGCTCCACCTGTGAAAATCCCCTATTACCACCGGCCCCCTATAGGAGGTGACTGGGGTTTGCTTACTTCAGGTGGGGCTGCCAAACCACATCCCACTACAGCGGGTCTCATTTACGAAGATATTGCTGACTGAGGGAATCCTCTTTTTGGCTTGCAACACATTGACTAACCACAGGAATTTTCAAACATCGGTTTTTCTTAGAATACACTTCATTTCACTGATATGCGACTCTGAAGCTCTTCGTGATCTCTACTGAGCAGAACTCCAGAAAGCGCTCAAGCCTCGGGATCTTCAGCAGAAACGGCGACCGACTGACCGCCGAGAAATTTTGGAGATAGGCAATAAGATAGATGACACAGGTTGCAGCCTATTTTTTAGCTTGTGTGTGCGAATAAGTTCAAAACCAAGTGTGAATTTAGGATATTTGCATAGTAGAAACTAATGGGGAATACGATTAATATAAGAGGTGATATACTTCACAAATTTTGTATTATGCCGTTTTGCTAGAGGTGATGCTTGGGGGCGAGCGTATATTCGGTATAGTTTTCAGATGCTTTTTCACCAACGGATGACAAGGTCCGACATCATTATGCTGTAAGAGCAGTTCACTCATATCTCCCACTGCTGAAAACAAGCCGGCACTCGCAACGTCACAGTATGCTTCAGAAAGTACACTCCTTCGTACGATGGCTATATTCCTCTAGGCATTCCATACATGGAGAGAATTATGTCCGGTTTTTTATTGTGATGTCTTAGCAGCAGTAAAAGACTTTCATCACTCCGCGTCTCACTGTCTGCCGAAGAAGAGAGAGAGAGAGAGATAAGTGTGAAGCAGACCACAGGACCACTACGACCGAGGAGCCCTCGTTCATCATCATCATCATCATCATCATCATCATCATCATCATCATCATCATCATCATCATCATCATCATCATCATCATCATCATCATCATCATCATCATCATCATCATCATCATCATCATCATCATCATCATCATCATCATCATCATCATCATCAGCAGCAGCAGCAGCAGCAGCAGCAGCAGCAGCAGCAGCAGCAGCGGCAGCAGCAGCAGCAGCAGCATCATCATCATCATCCTCATCTTCATCTTCATCTTCAACAACAACAACAACAACAACAACATCATCAACATCATCATCATCAGCAGCAGCAGCAGCATCATCATCATCATCCTCATCTTCATCTTCATCTTCAACAACAACAACAACAACAACAACAACAACATCATCATCATCAACAACAACAACAACATCATCATCATCATCATCGACAGCACCCCTCCTCATGTCCCCATTCTCCGCTGTTTACGTCATGGAACTTGCATGCTTTGGACACGTCAGACGAAAATTGCTTCCGTCCCAGCGATCAGAATGAATTCTACTGAAACACCCTCTGGAATTCACTATGTCCAATCAGCAAATAAGCATCTCCCTCGAGCAAATTAACTGGTTCACCTCATCCCCAAACCCCTGTTTCATTCCCCCAAAGTCAAAAGTAGACATTAATCGGCCATGCCATATGCTGGAGACCGCACGCATCTTTTCAGAGTTTTGAAATAACACCTGTCAAGGCAGATTTACTTGCTAGACGTTTATTTTCAATAGGCAGCTAATGGAGGGAAATCCAAGGTAATATCAAAAGAAAATTAACGCGGGCGTTTACGTCAGAATGCTTGCAGCTCCAACAATGCACTCCAGCGTCTCCACTGGGTTCATGGACGACCAGACCCAAGATGTCAATTCATTGACAAAGTCGGTTGAACCTCCTGGTGCCGTGAGAGTCTCCACCGTGTTTTTCGGCGCGCTGTCGTTGCCTACAATGTTTCATTTGCATAGTCTTAAGGAAGTGGCATTTGAAGAGGAAATGCACCAGAGAGAAATAAGTTTGTTAAAAAAATAAAGGATCGGAAGTATTCACAATGATATCTTCTGCTTCTGGCTCTGATGGCGCAGTGCGCAGGAGAAAACCCTCCACGGCGTCAGTCACAGATTACAGTTGGACCTGGCGTCACCTTCCAGATGCTGTAATCATTCAGCTTTGTAGAATAAAAATGGATTTACATGAAAGAGGCCAGCAAATAGCATGAAAGGATCCATCTAATCTGTGTGTCGCCTTACCGAGGGCAAAGAGAGCCTTGGCGGAGGTGAGGAGAGTGAAGTACCAGCGAGGCTGCTTCATGCCGGCCAGCTCTGTCCACTGGCCGAGGGGTCTGCTGGAGTCTGGCAGCGAGAACATCTCTACAACGTTGAGAGTCCTTTGGTCATCGTTTCCACCGGCGACCAGGATTGCTCCCCGAATTGGCGTCGCTGCGAGCCCCCGTCGTGCGATTCTCATGGGGGCAGCTGGCTGCCAAAACTCCGTTGGGGTCCCCTGTCCCTGCCAGTCTGCCCGCAGATGGCAGAAGACCACGGAAGCCAGCGGGGAGGAGGAGTCATCGTAACCGCCAAAAACGAAGACCCGACTGTCGCCGGGTAGGCAGGCTGCAGCTGAACTGCTCCTCTTCTCCGGCAGATCGGTCAGTTTGTGCCATCTGTTCGAGGCAAGCGGAGGGAAAGCGGGACAGTGAGTGAGTGAGTGATATCTATGGCAAAAATGGATGTGCCATGACGACCGGCGTCTTCTAACCTGTCCTGGCTGACGTCATAGAGCTCACAGGAGGAAATGCGTTCATATCTACCCCATCCACCAAAAACGCCAATCAGCGTCTTCTCTCCGGCTGCGGCGGCCGTGGCGGGAACCTTTATGACTGCAGCTGCGTGCTCCCAGCGTGCAAAGGCGAGGGGCGTACGCTCGCGCCAGCGTCCTTCTCTCACCAAAAACTCGTCGACATCAGCGCGCACTGGGTTGCATCCTCCTCCAACAACGAAAATGCTCTCTCCTGGTGGAGGGTGGAAAAGGTTATGCATAAGGCGGCCAGCTGAGAGCCTTTACACAAGAGTAACTGGCCGATAGACCATCTTCAAAAAAGGAACCCCTAGACAGGCGCCAGTCGCCACAAAAAGCTTACTTGTTCAAGTTCCTAATTAATTTGCTTTCTTCAAAACAGCACCTGCGGCTGCTTCTGTGGACTAACTCAAGAGCTCGAGATGCCTACGCAATGGCAAATGCTGCGCGCACACAGAGACACACATTAGAATTCAAGCACGTAAACAAACGGCATGCGCTGTCCGGCAACTCACCGCCCACGACACTGTAGGAGGCATGACTACGAGGACCCTTCATGTCAGCAACTCGTTCTGCCCGCCGCAGGTGCGCGTCAACGCGAAGGACAGAGTACCTGTCTTGACCTTTATCCTTTCCAAAAACGAAG